GGATTAAGATTGTCTAGGGGGTCGAATCGAGATTGCGAAAAAAGACTTGTGTTTGTCACTCCAATATGACAGTGGACACACTAAATCTACACAGTTCTGTCCAAACAGCTTTTTGCGCAATAGGAGTCCTTTGAATGATTTCAGGTTTCTTTTTTAATCAATCTTTCTAAATAATGCTTTAACAGTTCATGTTTCCTTGAGCGTGGAAGAGACTTGCATACAACTCTGAATTGTATAATTATTATATTTTTTTTAATTTTCGTATATCTCAGTTTCTCTGGACTTATGATTAATTTATAGTTAGGTGTTTGAGTAAAACAGTTTTTATTTTGCTCTCCAGACTTTATTTCTGAACTTAAAATGAAAATCTTGTCAAAGCATGATATGACACTTGACCAAAAAAAAGCAATTGTTCCAGAAATGTTTATATTCTTTTATTTTTAGACAACACTTTTATGGAAAGCAAAATGTTATGTAAATGAAAACATTTTCTGCAAAGATAGTATTCTAAATGACAATATTTTATTAGAAATTTATCAGAACTTTATGAAATAAAACAAATATTTACATTTAACTTAAACACATACCTGACATACTGAAAAACGTAATTTTTAGAATTTTTCTTTCTCCATAGCTGTTTATGTTAATATATTTTCCCTTATTTACAGTTAACTTTAAAATAAAATTAAGCAGTTTTAACAATTTATTATTAAGTAACTAATTTTAGAAAACCAGTTCAACAAATGTTTTTTTCTTGCTTAAGGACATCACTTGTTAGTTAGCCCAAAATTGACTCTAAACTAAAAAAAAAAAAAAAAAAAAAACTTTATACATTTGGCTGGCTTTGTGTCCAGTTAAAATTAAACATTCTCAATGTTGATTGAATTTAAAAAATAACTCTAAATTTTAAAGTTTTTTTTTTTTTTTTTTTTTTGGGCAGACGTAGTACAAAACATCTTATGTTATTTGAACAAATATTTTTACTATTGAATAAAAAATATTAATTGATATTTCTGCATTATGTAATAGCCATAAAGTTAAGTCATTGTTGGGTTTTGGGGTTCAGGGTTTCATTTCTGTCTGTTAATGGGTTTCCTGCAGAGCCTTCACCTTTAATTGATGCTCCTGAAGCTGAAATGATGCATGTGTCAGTGAAGGAGGGATATCCTGTCACTCTTCACACTGATGTTCCTCAACTACACGGAGATGAACTGATAGTGTGGAGGTTTGGAGATAAAGAAAAACTCATGGCTATAGATGATAAAGAGATCAAGAGCAAAAAAATATATGATACTGATGAGAGATTCAGACACAGACTGGAGCTGATTGACCTGACCGGATCTCTGATCATCAATAACATGAAATACACAGATGCTGGACTTTACACAGTGAAGATCAGCAGCAACAAACAGATACTATACAAGAAATTTTTTGTCACTGTCAGTGGTAAGTAACTAAAGTGTTAAAATAATTGTTTATAATCCATCTCTAAATAATCAGGATGACCTGGGTCCACGTTTATCAAGCTTCTGGAAGAACTGCTGAAAACCCATAAAATTTGCTCCTGCTTTTAAATTTAAGTTATCAAATTTCTTAAAGGTGACATCAGGGGCCTCATTTATAAAATGCTTCAAATGAATTTTACTCACTTTTATTTGATGATCTTGTTTATTTTATGACTCAATTATGATAATCATGTCATCAATTTGATATCACAGTGCATCACGATGCATTGACAATGTTTTCCATCTGCATTTTTTTTATTTTATTTTATTTCACAAGAATACATTTTTGACTTTTAATACAAGCAGTCAGAAACTCTAATTTTACCTGCTCAAAGAAAACATGCTTCTTGAATGTGTCAGCAAGGAAGATAACAGAAGCATTTAAAGCAAATACACAAAAGTAAATAATATATTTTCCCACTTGCTTTTCAATTGTTGTCGAGCGAGTTCCTAAGCACCTGTAATTGGCCATTGTTGTTCACATGCTCAACAGAAATGACTGTGTTTGACTCTAATGGAAAGTGCTCACTGAGTGGTCACATTGATGTGTTTTCCAGCTAATTTATTTGCAGATTGATCAAATATCAGTTCATAGATAAAGAGGAGAAAACTTGCTCTGCAGACACACTTGTGTCTGGATCTACAAGTAACACTGTAACAGCCGAGATAGGAGAAAAACCATGTCGATTACTATCGCTGCGTTTAGTACCAACGATATGAGAACTCCTCTTAAACTCAAATACTGAAGCCTCATAGGGCACTAGTGCTAAGACAAAATATTGATATGCTGATATATCGTAATCCGAATATTTCCGTCTGAAACTAACAACAAATCACCCCATACGCCTTGCGCCTGGTGTATAATAGGGCCCCTTATGTCTCTTTAGGGTGGAGTTGAATAAATTTGCAATCCGCAAATCCTACAATTCACATTCTGACAAGTTAGTGGCTCATGCAGTCATTGCGTAGTAATGCATAGTAAGCTATCTGTGTTTCTCATTTTCATAATAAAAGTCTCACATACATAGTAAGTTAAATATAAAATTAAATAAACTTCGAAATAACTAAGGGAAGAAAATTATCATTATTGTCTCACTAGTCTGTTTTGTGTTCTGATTGGGCTGTTATTCACGAAGGTTTTACGCTTGTAGAATTAACATGAGAACGAGGAAACGGTAGTGTCTGAGGCTCACAATATGTCCTATGTATGCAGTATGTCTTTTTATTTGAGTATGCCTGGGTATATCTAGATTTTCTTTATAGGGCACCTTATTATAGGACAACAAATATAACAGGACTTGGAAGTAAACTGTTTTGCCGTATTATCTTTTAATAATGTCAAATTGAAAATAACTAATAATAGTTAACTCAATGATTTTTCTTAATCCTGTTTGACTTGTCTTTCATTGTTATTCTGTCTGTTGCTGCATGTCTGTGCTGTTTGCACCTTCACTCTAGAATCACGGCTGCTCCTCTGAAGCACTGATGTTTATAGTGTGATAAATCAGAATGTTTATAATGATTGTCTTTATCATTACAGGTTCAGGTCTATCTTCAGGTGCTGTAGCAGGAATTGTTGTTCTGCTGCTGCTGGTTGCAGTTGCAGCTGTATTGGGTTTTCTTTACTATCGCAACAAGAACTCTAAACTACAGAAACGACTTGGTAAGTATTACAATTGATACAGCAAAAGAAAAACACTGAGCTTTATTTGCGGCTCAGTTGAGTGTTAACCATGTGTTTTGCCATCACTCTTTTTAAGCTCTGCTTATGATTGATTCAGTGTGATGTTGTCTTACCCCTTCATCAGCGACAGTTTTAGTTCACAGTAACTGAGGAGAGAAACTGGAGCCACTTGTGTTTTCAACATTAATTTTTTTAAGGATTATTGGAAATGATTTTACTACAATATTATTCTCTCTGCATTTTCTACATATAAGCTTAAGATTCAAGTTCTTTTCCCTGTTTGTCATGTTGTCACGATGACATCACATACTTTTAACATCTATGCACCAAAGTTTCCTGTATTTTTTTTTCTTGCTGAGCAAAACTCTTCTTTATTGGGTGAATATTTTGGCTACTTTAGCAAAATCCTTTATACCAGAGCTAGACTGTACACTGAAACAGAGTTTACATTATACCGCTGAAGCTTTTAACTTTAATGTGCTGTTTACTTTGACCTTTGTATTTTGACCCTGATGCAACTTAGTGATATTAAATCACAAAAAAAGAAATATATACAGTTGAAGTCAGAATTATTAGCCCGCCTTTAATTTTTTTTTTCTTTTTTAAATATTTCCCACATGATGTTTAACAGAGCAAAGAAATTTTCAAAGTATGTCTGATAATGTTTTCTTCTAGAGTTTCGACTATAATAAAAGCAGTTTTTTTGAGGACAAAATTATTAGCCACTTTAAGCTTTTTTTTTTTTTCAATAGTCCACATAATAAACAATCGTTATACAATAACTTGCCTAATTACCCTAACCTGCCTAGTTCACCTTATTAATCTAGTGAAGCCTGTAATAGAAGTGTCTTGAAAAATATCTAGTCAAATATTATGTACTGTCATCATGGCATAGATAAAATAAATCAGTTATTAGAAATGAGTTATTAAAACTATTATGTTAAGAAATGTGTTGAAAAAAGTCTGCTCTCAGTTAAACAGAAATTGAGGAAAAAAATAAACAGGGGAGCGAATAATTCAGGGGGGCTAATAAATCTGACTTCAAGTGTGCGCGCGCGTATGTGTGTATACAGTATATATAACAGTATGTCACAAAAGTAAGTACACCCCTCCTACTTCTGCAAATATTTATTTATAACTTTTCATAGGACAACTATGGAACCAGATTAGTCTCAAAAGAAATTCACACAAAAGACACGATGTACACATGCGTAGCCAAATTCACATGTATAAAATCACATGTTCGATCACGGGTTTAGGCGCATGGTAACCCAATGTGCTGACCACTGGACCACAATGGCGCTGCAATACTGGAGTAGCCGGAATGATACTTATGATTACCCTGCAGGATACATGTTGCTCATGGGGGTGCAAGACAATAAATAAGAAAAGTGGAGCTGCGGCAAAATAATGGATAAAAAGAGTGAGGATATGGTCAAATAAATAAATAAATTTTAAAAAAGTGCGACTGCTGCTTTCTCCGTTCGCCATGCTGGAGAGGAACAGTCTGCACAAAAGAAGCGCAGAGTTGGTTTCATTGAATACAGCTCTCATCTGATTGGCTGAAAGGTACGAGCAGTCCTGACTCTGGCAGGAAAGTCTCTAAAATACACACGCGTATCCAGGGGGAGTCGTACGTGAAAGAGGATTTGCACATTCTCATTCAGGATGAACTCGCCAGTTTTAAACATTCAAAACATTTTGTACACTCGTAAACATTTGCAAATGGTGTTTTGCATTTGTGAAACGTATTTTATGAAAATGTATTTTTATTTTGTACACGTGAAATTTTTTTGTGAATATAAATAAATACTTAACGCACGTGAATTTGGTTTTATGCACGTGAATTTGGCTAAGCATATGTACATCGTGTCTTTTGCGTGAATTTCTTTTGAGACTAATCTGGTTCCATAGACAACACTGTAGAAATGACTCTTTGACACAATGAATAGTAGTCAGTGTAAAGTGTGTATAGCACTGTAAATTTATTGTTCTCTCAAAATAACTACAAATACAGCCAATAATAGCTGAACCCCTGGCAACAAAAGTGAGTACACCCCTAAGTGAAAATGTGAAATGTCAATATTTTGTGTGGCCATCATCATTTTCCAGCATGGTTTTAATTCTGTTGGGCATGGAGTTGACCAGAGCTTCACAGGTTGCCATTGAAATTCTGGACATCAGGTGGTGGACATTTTGGCACCTTGTGCTCCTCCACCTTCCTTTTCAGAATGCCCCAGAGGTGTTCTATGGGGTTTATGTCTGGAGACATGCTTGGTCAGTCCATCACCTTTACCCTCAGCCTCTTTAGCAAGCCAGTGGTCATCCTGGAGGTGTGTTTGGGGTCATTATCATACTGGAACACTGCTCTGCAGTCCAGTTTCCTGAGAGAACTGCTTCAGTATGTCACAGTACTTGTTAGAATTTATGTTTCCCTCAATGAAATGTTGCTCCCTAATGTCAGCAGCACTCATGCAGCCCCATATCATGACACTCCCACCATCATGTTTAATGGTAGGCAAGACACACTTGTCTTTGTACTCCTCACCTGTTTGCTGCCACACAGACTTGACACCATCTGAACCAAATGGGTTTATCTTGGTCTTAGACCACATGACATGGTTCTTGTAATCCTGGTCCTTAGTTTGCATGCCTGCAGCAAATTGTTTGCGAGCTTTCTTGCATCGTCTTTAGAAGAGGTTTCTTTCTAGGACCACAATCATGCAGACTAATTTGATGCAGTGTGCGGCGTACGATCTGAGCACTGACAGGCTGACCTCCCATATTTTCAATCTCCGCAGCAATGCTGGAAGAACTCATCCGTCTGTTTTTTAAAGACAATCTTTAGATGTGTTGCTGAGAACGTGCTCTCAGCTTCTTTGGCTAACCATGGCGAGGCCTGTTCTGGGAAGAACCTGTCCTCTTAAAGCACTGAATGGTCTGGGCCTGAGTAGTCTGAGTGTTGGCTCTCGTCTTATGGCCTAGGCCAGGGGTCGGCAACCCAAAATGTTGAAAGAGCCATATTGGACCAAAAAAAACAAAAACAAATATGTCTGGAGCCGCAAAAAATTAAAAGTCTTATAATGATGGCAACACATGCTGTATGTATTTATATTAGCTATATTAGCCTACTATAAAAATGACTTCGTTGGGTACAAATACATACTGAGCCTTCATGATTAAATGTTCATTTCCCTGCAGTGCATCCTGTAGAGAATGACGCGCCACGTGACTACTCTGTTGTACGATGCCGTCTCAAGTTTAACTTAATTACAGTATATTAATGAATTATGTTTAATGTTCAAGTTTAACTTCATTACAATATTAATGAATTGTTTAATGATCAAGTTTAACTTCATTACAATGTTAATGCATTATGTTTAATTATCAAGTTTAACTTCATTACAATATTAATGAATTATGTTTAATTATCAAGTTTAACTTCATTACAATATTAATGAATTATGTTTAATGATCAAGTTTAACTTCATTACAATATTAATGAATTATGTTTAATGATCAACTTTAACTTCATTACAATATTAATGAATTATGTTTAATGATCAAGTTTAACTTCATTACAATATTAATGAATTATGTTTAATGATCAAGTTTAACTTCATTACAATATTAATGAATTGTTTAATGATCAACTTTAACTTCATTACAATATTAATGAATTATGTTTAATGATCAACTTTAACTTCATTACAATATTAATGAATTATGTTTAATGTTCAAGTTTAACTTCATTACAATATTAATGAATTGTTTAATGATCAAGTTTAACTTCATTACAATATTAATGAATTATGTTTAATGATCAAGTTTAACTTCATTACAATATTAATGAATTATGTTTAATGTTCAAGTTTAACTTCATTACAATATTAATGAATTATGTTTAATGATCAAGTTTAACTTCATTACAATATTAATGAATTATGTTTAATGTTCAAGTTTAACTTCATTACAATATTAATGAATTATGTTTAATGATCAAGTTTAACTTCATTACAATATTAATGAATTGTTTAATGATCAAGTTTAACTTCATTACAATATTAATGAATTATGT